AGAAAAGTCAAGGGAGAGTTAGAATGCACCGGTGCGTAAGGGAGTTCTTCAGCGGGTCGATGATGTAAAGAGAGGTAGAGGTCGGCCTAAACTCACTTGGGAAAAGTCAGTTAAGAGAGACCTTAAAGATTGGAATATCTCCAAGGATTTAGCGGTGGATAGGAGCGCTTGGAGGCTAGCAATCAACGTGCCAGAATCGTGACTTTTGCTCCTTTCTCTTTTGTTCCAATCTCTTCCTTTTGTTTTGAGCCCCTTTCTGTGTTTCTCTTACCATTGGTTCTCTTGGATTTCATCTCTAGCCTACCCCAACTTGCTTGGGATTAAAAGGCTATGTTGTTGTTGTTGTTATTGTTGCGGAGAGTTAGAATGCAAATTCACACTAAGTAATTATTTGTAAAAAAAGTATTTCTAACAAGTAAGTATAGTTTGTTGTTGGAATTATCTAAATAGGAATTAAAAATAGTCTAATTTGCCTATTTAGAAGTTAGAATTGATGTATACTTATTTATTTGAAATTTTTAGTATTCAACATAATAAATAAAATAGAAAACCTATTTTATTGTTTCAAAAAACTATTATGACCTTTANTTCACTTATATTTTCAAATTTTTAAAATATAAAAGTTCAAAATATTCTTCGAAGTAATTTTACACGTTAATAGTTAATAGTAAACAACTAATTTTACCAACCACTTTACATATAACTAATATATCCGCTGGTCAGAACATGTAATACTATCCACTAGTGAAAAAAGTTAACAGAATTCGGTTAACTTCTAACCGTGGATTATGATGATGAAAAATGGCCATAGAGAAAAAGAGCTCCCAGAGCTTCATATTATTTCATCTACTAACCTTGATAAGTGATTTCGAGCCAGAAGACACCCTTGATTCAACATAATTTTGGGCAAGCACTTGTTTCAATTGCCCATACACACCTTTAATTTCCATTTTCTGGTTTATGTAAACTTTCTTCGATTGTTTTCAAATCAACATAACCCCATTAAAATTATAGTGTCATTTGGAACAGGATAGAGTAGTACATTGGTTATGTCAAAAGAATTAGGTTGGGGCAACCTATGAGATGGAGGTGGCCGCTGGGATAGGGAACCAGCGATTGATAGCTGTGGGATAAAAAAAAAAAATAAAAAAAGAGAGAGAATAAACAGAACAAAGGAAAAATAAAGCAAAAGGAGAGGTAGAGACACAAGGTTAAGATGACAGATAGGTGGGGGTGGGGGATAGAATTATTATTCATGAGGGTCTATTCTCATCAAAGTTACCCAATCCTAGTTAGTAGCACTGGACAGTGACATTTAAATACTATGCAAATTTAGTGGCTACAAATGGATTCCTCAATAATCACTCCAATCCATTCCTGTGACATATCTAATAGTTTTGTAATTGACTTTTATTTTGACATGAAGACCATTACTCCTGCAAACTTATAGTTGCCAAATCTTAAATAAAACTAGTTCATTTTAGCTATCCCTTGTTGATTCACCTATATGGATAAACTGGACTCCAATAATTTATTTAAGTTGACTGCCACTGGCCCTTCGCTCAAACATCATACATGTTTTTATAAGCTAATGAAAAGGTAAAGAGAA